TATGACTGCTATATTTACAGTAACAATGTGCCAATTTGTAGTGCATTGCAGCCCATGGATAACTGAAATCTAAGTCAAAACGGACAAAACTGGGTGCCTTCATTCTGGGTTCTGAATCTATATTTAGTCACCTAAGGAAAAGTGACCAACTTTGCAAATTTACTGAGCACCTACAATTTCTGCTGGACTCAAGGACTATTATGGATGCTCAGCACTTCTATAGCACATCACTTTTGTCAAAGGCTGTCTTTCCTTTCCCCCAATTGATACTCTAGAAGAGCTCTACAAACAGAATGACAATTACAAAACTATTAAGAAGCAATACTGACAATTAGGCTACCAAACAAACCAGAGCAAGACATTGTCAAAGTGAAGGCTCCCTTGCCATTTCATTGTGCCTAGGCATTGAAAGCATTCCGCCTTAGAATTTAGAAAGCATACACAGTATATTATGATTATTGTCACCGATTAAATTAAAAATGTCAGTTTTATCTTGACACTTAGCGGCAATCATGTTACTAATCTAGTGGTGCCATTTATTGTAGAAGAGTTATGAAATTTTAGTTGCTGTTGACAAAAAAAGTAAATTTGAAAATAACAGTATGTTTCAATAATGACAGCAAGCTTGCTATAGCTGGGGACAAAGAAGGCTGTTTTTAAAACTTTGCTTTATTATTACTCAAGGGAAAACCTGTACATCATGAAGTGTCTGAAGATGGCAAGCAGAACAAAGTGGATCTTACCAGATTAATTAAAACTTTTACTATGGATTTGGTCACAGAGTATAATCTTGAGGTATGTTCACTTATGGAATAAAATTGAGCTACAGCAGAAGGGAATTCTTGGCCGAAACCTGTCTCAAAAGATTCTGTGAAAAAAATTATCATCTCTTTAATATGTTGCTCTTAGGATTTTGGAATTTCAGAACCTTCATGTGCTATGTTGAGCTGGCTAGTGATACTCATCAGAATTTAGCAGGGAATCCAGTTTACATAGTTGTTCTGTTTGCCACACACGTTTCCTGTACAACATTCAATTCCACTCCAACTGATTTCTATGTTAGATTAATAAAAGCAGCAAAGGAAGCACAAATGTAAAATTTCCTTGACAGAACCTTACGTGTAGAGCCCTGCAACTCTGCAGATATCCACTTTTTAGTCACTGGTATCTGCATCTGCAGGTGTGGATGAAGATGTCTGCAGCTCATTTTTGCAGACCTAAATATGGATGAGGATACAAACTTCATATCTAGAACCCTGCAAATGTGTAGATATCTGATTTTATAACCACATCCTCGGATGTCAGTGCAGATCATAGAATCATAGAATAATAGGACTGGAAGGGACCTCAAGAGGTCATCGAGTCCAGCCCCCCGCCCTCAAGGCAGGACCAAGCTCCACCTACACCATCCCTGACAGATGTCTATCTAACCTGTTCTTAAATATCTCCAGAGAGGGAGATTCCACCACCTCCCTTGGCAATTTATTCCAATATTTGACCACCCTGATACCTATGGCTCATTTTTTGTGGACACAGAGGGGGATGCAGATACAAATTTTGTATCTGCTCAGGGTTCTACCTGTGTATCTCTGTCACTCCTGACAGCTGATCTCAAAATGGCTTGCAGTACTGTCCACTCCAGCAGATGTGCAGAGGGGTTCATGCAGTACACTGACATAACAGTTACACAGCTCCCTACACCACAACAGCAAATATTATATAGGCCCATAATCCAACTGTAAGCGATTTTCCTTCAGATTTGAGAGCACAATAAAAGCCTCCCTCAATATTCCCCTATTGACTTCTTTCCTGGAGATCTAGACTGTGAAATTCATTCATGGTACAGTTCTATCATCTGTTAAACCATTCAGGAAAAGCTGCTTTGAAATTGTAGCCTTGTTCAGCAAAGCGGATCTATTCTGAACTGATGGCCAATCTGTTATTCATTCTGGTTGACCATCAGACAAACACATCTATTACCTCTAAGAACTTGCCCTAGCAATTTTGTAATTAGCAGAAAATAGGATCAGATAGTTGTAAAGATCAATATCATATTTTAAATCTCATGCTAGAGATGACTATTTTGCTGCCAAGTGTTTGGTTGTTTTTCAGTGAGCTGATCTTTATTGACAACACAACCTTTTATTTAGGGCATGTCTACACTATAATTTTAAATAAAATTCTACATGTCAATTTTATTTAATTTCAGTTTGTGCATCCAATTTAACAAATGTGATTTTGCACGTCCCCACAAGGTGATTGTGGTTGACAGAGCACATCCTCACTGCCAGGGGTTGCATTGATTCAAGGAGGGATGCATTATGGGTGGCTAGCCCACAGTCCCTGGGGCAGAGTGGAATTCTGGGCTAAGGTCCCAATGTCTCGTGGGATGAAAACACTGTTACGGGTGCATGTCATCAGCCTCCCAGGCTTGTCCTGTGGTATGCTTGTCTGAAATCCTTTTGGCATTGCTGTGTGTTCCTTATCCACCATGTCCTGTGCTATTTTGGCATAGATATAAGTGTTTCTTTGGCCGGTTTTACAGACTCTCTCCTCCCACTCCCAGCAATCAGGGCCCCTGTCTTCTAAAGGCTCCATGCTAGAGATGTTTGTGTGCCCCTGTGCATGCTCAGCTATGCTGGTGAGCTCTCCATGCTACTTCAATGGGAAATGACCATTCAAATGTCCCCGGTCTTTCCCTGCTCTTCTGACAGTTCAAAGTGCTTGTCAGAGCTTTTCTAACAGAGCACTCCGAATCATCACCTGGAGGCCAGTAACTCTGAATTGCAATACACAGTATTTACACTGCTCTTAATTCAAGGTGTGAATGTCACCTCAGGCTTTACTCCACTAGTTCAGGTGGAATACAGGGGTCGATTTTAAAAGCCGTTTTACCCATTACAAATTTGACCTAACGCTGAATATGTTGATCTAAACTGATAGTGTAGACCAGTCATTAGCAAACTACCACCAGCATTAATTCTGTGCCTGGTGTTACACAGGAGGTCATACTAGACGATCATAATGGTCCATTCTGGTCTTAATCTATAAATAATTATGAGATTTTTTCTTGAGCAGGCAACCACTTAGCAGCTGCTGATTTTCTTTCACTTTATCATCTAAGACAATACAAAATCCTAGGGTTGTGGAAATGATGGGCAACTATGAGTCTTTCAATGTAAAATCTGCAAAGCCAGAACTGCATGGCATTGGTACTTCAAGCATGTGAGTCACGGTTCTGCTCCCAGAGAGTGGAGCAAATGTTGAGCCTTTTCTTTTGCAGACATCCGTGAAGATTTTTGATGTCCCTGTTGAAAATCACATTCTGCTCTTCACCCCAAAGAATTCAGAGACCTTCAACAAGACGTATGAAGATTATGAATCTGCTGCTGCAGAATTTAGAGGAAAGGTTTGTGACGCAGTTTACTTTATAGTCCTGCTTTGCAAATGTCAGATGTCAAAGATCGGCTGAAAAACACCCACCTATGTTGCTGATATGAATATATTGCTGTCAGTCTGTCCCCTAGCAAACCACTTCCAATAATTCTAAGAACTATTTTTCTAGCCTGAGTCCTTAGGCAAAATGGTCCAGGGAATTCAAATTAGAAATAAACTCAAAGTGAGAGTGATGCTTTAAAAATATGATTCTAATTGTGTCATGCCTACTAAACCTATTTCTGACCATTCCTATCAAGCTTATTTATGATCTTACATACATCTCTTACTGAGAGCAAACTTTCAGCCAGGAAGAGTTGAGCACTGCTTTTGCAGGCTCAGCTTCTAGTTTACAATGCTGTCTGCAAATGCCATCCTGGCAATTTGAACGAATTGCTGTTGGCCACAGTTGAAGCCAGCAGTTCTATCTTGACTGGTTTTGCAAAGAACCTGTATGATATTGTTTCATGCAGCAAAGGGGAGGGAAGAGTAAGTAAAAAGAACACTAACAGTCTCTACTGTAAATTACTCAATTTTGCTGCTATTACTCCACTAAGTGCTGCAGAATGAGAATTCATCTAGTAATAAAACCACCAATAGCCATCTATACTATTGGGAAGGACACCTGGATTATAAATATTTCAGATTTTTGTACTATTACATTTTATCATGTAATGCAGGGAGACGCAATAAGAACTTACCGGGGCAAAAAGCATAGTTTGGTTGTGTAAGAGAGAGCAATATAACTTACCAGACTAAGAAATAAATCCGAACTTGAATGTGCTGCAGATCTGTGTAGTGCAGCAATATCAAGTGGATTCAGTAAAAGCGCAAACTTACTTGGTTTAGAATGTCACTGTCTCAGATCTGGGGCATAGAAAAACTTACAAAACGGCAGAGTGAACCTGACTCAGTATATGGTTTTGCATTGTTCCAACAGCAGATAACCCTTGATCCTAATAATGCCAAGTTTTGGGAGGTTCATTACTGGATCTAAACTTAAAATCTCCCCTGTATTCCAAAGATTAAACCAAACCCCAGAGACCAAATTATTTTAAACAGGGGGGAGATTGCCTATCCACACACCTTCAGATTCAGGCTGGATTCCATGCTTTCAACAAGTTTCATGTCCTGAATCTAGTTTTCTTTCATCACAAATTCAAAGTGAAAGATGGAGCTGGTTGATACAGGTCCCTATGAAAGAATCTTAAAAAAAAAAAAATCGAAAAACTGCACAGCTGTTTCTAAGGCAATAGATTTCTACTTTTAGAATTTAATGGGATGCTATGAAGCTGGATATTCCATATGCTGCTGTTTTTCTTTTCCAGATAATGTTCATTTTGGTAGACACAAATGAAACCAGAAATGGACGTGTATTTGAATATTTTCGCATCACTGAGATAGACGTCCCTGCTGTGCGAATCTTAAACCTGACGAGTGATGCAAAGTACAAAATGCCTGCAGATGAGGTGACTGTGGAGAATCTAAGAAGCTTCTGTCACAGCTATCTAGGTGGGACAGCAAAGGTATGCCTCTCTGAGGAGACGGAGTCAGATGTCCATTTTATGCCAGCTGAAAATTGTAGCACATTTGCAAAAATAAAGTGAAAATATTTTTTAAGCTTCTAATCTATCACCTGTAGTAGCTTGGTTCTGATTTTATAAGATTGTTCTTGTTGCTGCCATGTGCTTTGTCAGTGCAAATGGGACTACCCCCTAATTTTGGATAACTGAGGCTGTGTCTACACTGCAGAGTTTTTTCGGAAAAATGGTCGTTTTTCCAAAAAAACTTCACTTAATGTCCACACTGCAATTGTGTTCTTTAAAAAAAAAAAAAAAAAAAATCTTTCTATGAGGAAGAAGCCTTTTTTCTAAAGAGCTCTTTTGGAAAAAGGCGTGTGTGGACAGGGAAGAAGGAGTTCTTTTGAAAGAAGAGGAAAGAAAAAAAAGCACAGGTGCCCTGGTGGCCACTCCGTCCATAGAAATCACAGCTTAAATGTGAAATAGTGTCCATTCGGTGTGGACGCTATCTTTTGAAAAAGCAGATCACTTTTTCAGTGGGCTTTTGTTGTGTAGATGCTCTCTTTCGGAAGAAGTTTTTTCAGAAGATCTCTTCCAGATAAGCTTCTTCCGAAAGAAGCCTGCAGTCTAGACATAGCCTGAAATTGAGCACCAGATTCTGCCAGTGATTTTATGTGGGAACTTAGGCAAGTCACTAAGTCACTTATGGCCTGGATTTTCAAGGTGATGAGAATGTCTAAATTTCATTAACTTTACCTGTCATTCAGAAGAACTCAGAAAATATGGCCATGAAACCTCTGAGCTTCCTTCCTCCCCTCAGCCCATGTATAATAAGGCTAATGATATTTACTTATCCAACTGAGGTGATATAAGGATTCATTAGTACCTGAAAGCTTTACATACTAGAGCTTTGAGACTGGAAAAGTGCTACAGATAATCCTGATAGTTTCTCTAAATGAATGATAAGATCTTGCAATTGTCATGAATGAGCTTTTCCTTATTTGTGTGCCTCTTACAATCCTTTTCACTCTCTTATTTCCTGATCGATCACTCCCTATTCCCATTACAATATTTTGTCATCATAATGATGTATCAACATGTTCATGCCACAGAAGTTCTAAAAAGATACCTTATACACTGTATTGCTTTTTCAGTGTTCTATAGGTTAATTTACCTTCATGCTTAACAGCTGTCATCAAGAGGAAGGAAGGAGCTATGTGGTAGGGACAAAGAGATCCACAGTGACATGCACCCCTCCTAGAGCCACCTCACTCTTCTCTGTATCCACAATAAGCCAGCTCTATAGTTCTCTAGCCTTTTGCTTGTCATTCAGCCAGGTTTTGTAGGACAACTGGATTGTGAAGGTTCAAGTAACCTACTGATGGTTGAACATGACTCACAATATTTTAAGATGGGTATAAAAAATAAGGACATTTGGTGAGAATTATCCAGTCAGACTCACTTTAACATGAACTGGAATACGTCTTCCTGATATCCCCTTCACTTTCTTATCTCTGTTTCTCTTTCTGGTTAGCCACATGTATCTAGTGAAGAAATTCCAGAGGACTGGGACAAGAATCCCGTTAAGATGCTTGTTGGAAAGAACTTCAACAAGGTTGCCTTTAATAAGACCAAGAATGTGTTTGTAATGTTCTGTGAGTATCATTCTAGGTTGTTTTAACATGACCATTTTGATGTGAAAATGCATTTGTTCTGTATAAAACCAAGCACCATTCATTACAGAAGTTCAAATGAATATACTTTTGCTATCTGCTTAGAGCATTATAAGATTTGTGCCATATCTTAAGGAAATGGGGATATTCAGCTACTGACTTAAGATTGTTCTGTATAATAGGGGTGCCTAAAGCCAATATTTTCCAAGGTGGTATGAAATTGTGATGTTGGAAGACAAAGCTATCCTGGGATTTTATTGTACAATTTAACATTCAGATATGCCACACTGTAGGAACCAGACTGTGTCCCATGGGCACATCCCAGGACAAGGGGAGGCCATCTTATGATGCTCTAAGAGCACCCCAAAAAAGAGCCACAATTCCTTTGCTGCTCCCCTTAGCTCTGTGGAAGTAGATTCCCATATATAGCAAAAGATCGCTATCCCTTCCCACAGCCCCCAAAGCAGCTCTGCCTATTTTCTACTTCATCCCATTTGTCTGTTCCAAGGATAGGAATAGCAAGTGCCAAATAAACCTGTGCTCCCAGACTCACAATCCAAGTGGGTACTTACTCTCCAGGGTGCCTCTGCATGGATGCATAATCAAAACCAAACCTAAGCCTTTAATGGTTTTGTGACCAAGATTCTAATGAGCACCACTGGGTAAAAGTCTGAGCCTTAGAGAAACAAAGACATCTGAAAATGCCAGGTAACAATTCAAATGACGAAAGTTGGTCATGGACTCAGATTATTACCACACTTTTGTGGTATAGTTTGTAAGAAGGATGGTGGAGAAAACTGCATTGCAAACATGCTATTGCTGCTATAACAGCCTCATTTTCCTTCTGGTTGACCTCACATGGAACGAGATACCCTTTCCAGTCCCCTAACTGTCTTGTTCCTGCTTCTGTTCCTCTCTGAGCCTTGGATATTTTGGCCTAATCTGAGACAGAGCTATTATTGAAAATTAACTATTTTTCCAATGCAACAGAAACAGACAGGGAGGGGAAAGGCTTAAATTGGACTTATAAATGATAAAATAATTTCCCCCACAGAAAAATTCCTGAATTTTGGTCATCTTCTTACACACTGAGGAAGCCAAAGTTGGTTGCAATCTATCTGTAGGATCCTCTTCACCCACTGCTGAATTACAGCAGCACCAGAGAGGAATGAGGAAAATATTAAAAGGCCCAAGATTACACCACTGGAGCTTTAGGCCATGTCTTCACTTCAGTGCTGCCACTATCAATCTTCTGGAGTTTGAGTTAGTGGATCTACTAAAGACCTACTAAATTGAACTGAGAGAGGCCCTCCTTGGTGGCTGGTACTTCTGTTCCTGCAAGGATTATAGGGAGCCAACAGAAGCATTTACTCCCATCAGTTGCCCACTGTGGGGGCAGGGAAACTCGAATCAAGGTACATTGACTCCGGCTATGCAATTCATGTAGCTGGAGTTGCATATCTTGATTCAACCTTCCCCTTTAGTGTAGACCTGGCCTTAGGGGGAAAAAAGGAGGAATATCTTTCTGGGTTGAAAATGCATGGGAATTTAGGTAGGCAGAATTACATTAGCAAATTGGAACTTGACAAGGACAACAGTATGTGAACAAAATGTTCTGGACCTCAGTTTTACATTTCAATTGAGATATGTTTGCTTATTTCATTAGCAAAACCATATGCAAGAAACATAGGAATATACTCACAAATAGCTGTACAACTCTCATCCTGGAATACCAAACACTCATCCAGAGACTAGTGCTAGCCTGGAATTGTTAGTTTTGACCTCTGGCCATTTCATCCATTGTAATTATTTTGTTACCCTGTTTGGTGTTGTGAACAAACTTTGTATTTGTGCCCTAATTAGGCATTGAATACAAAACACTGGTTAAGAAAGTCTATGGAATGGAATCTTGAGTTCTTATAGTGTTGCCTGAAATTGCCTTCCCCCCACCAAAGAAACCCTGTTAAAATGGATCTGAATGTGGACACTGATCCATTGACTGAAGAACTCTAAACAAGGGGCATTAACAGGAGTGTTGTAAGCAAGACATGCGAAGTAATATTCTCTCTCTACTCTGTGCTAAGCCTCAACTGAATATTGTCTCCAGTCCTGGGCATCACATTTCAGGAAAGATGTGGAGAAATTGGAGAAGGTCCAGAGAAGAGCACAAGAATGATTAAAGGTCTAAAAAACATGACCTACAAGGAAAGACTGAAAGACATACAGCATCCAAGTACAGGCAGTCCCCGGGTTACATGGATCCGACTTACATCGGATCCCTACTTACAAACGGGGTGAGGCAACCCCGCACTAGCTGCTTCCCCCCAGTAGACCAGGGAGAGCAGAAGACCAGGGAGACACGGAGCGGCTTTTCTCAGCAGACACTTCAGCTTGAGAATAAAGGGCTGAGGGAAGTGAGGTGTGGGAGAATAAAACTGAGCTCTGGAGAAATGTTTGGCTAGAGTTTCCCCTACAATATGTACCAGTTCCGACTTACATACAAATTCAACTTAAGAACAAACCTACAGTCCCTATCTTGTACATAACCCGGGGACTGCCTGTACATAAGAGTGTTACAAGGAGGAGGGAGAAAAGTAACTTTTCTTGACCTCTGAGGACAGGACAAGAATCTAACTTCTTTCCTGTTTAATTCTTTATATAGAATTTATGATAATCTTGTTTAAAAAAAACCCACACTTTTTGCAACATTCAAGTATGGATTCCTTTTACATCACAAAATAGTAATTAGAGTTCACCTTTCAAAAATCAATAAATACCATTTTTTCTTTGGCAGCTCATACAAACCAGAAAGATTTATTCTGACATGAGTGCAGAGGACTAAACTAGATGACATCTTGAGGTCCCTTCTAGTTCTAGAATTCTAGGATTCCAAGTGCTCATTCTGATCTCTCTCTCTCTCTAAACCTTAAGAAGAGAGGGACCCAACCTGCAAATTTGGATCTGGAACTTGACTCTTTCTGGGGTAAAATTCCCAGGCACATTGAAGCCAATAATAAAACTCTCATTGGTGTCATTGGGGCCAGGATCTCTCTCTCTCCCAGGGCATATCTACACTAGGAAATTATTTCGAAATAACATTTCAAAATAATGACTCCTGAAATAATAATTTTCAAATAATTTTCATACTTCAGGGAAGCCTTGAAATTAGTCCGAGGCAGGCTCCCTTAATGTGGATGTGTTACCTCAGCTTAGCGCCCCAGGAAGCGAAGGGAATTAATTACTTTGAATGACTCTGTAGAATAGTTATTTTGAAATGGCAGCAGTGGAGTGTCCACACAACTGCTATTTCGAAGTGATTTTAAAAATACGTGTTATTCCTCATGGAAAGCAGGTGGGATAACAGACAAAGCCCCCAATATAATGACTATCCCAATAAAATCGGGACATCTTGTCACCCTACTGTAGCCCATCTCCCTCCTAAATTCAGGATGGTAAAGCATTGCTATGTAACAAGGATAGAAGAGCTGTATTCTACTTGAGCCACAAGGCTTCCTACCACCCAAAAGCATAACAGAAGAAAAGATATTTGCTGGGTCTATGGTTTTTACTTAGATTGTATTCAGTTTTCACTCTGACAAATTCCTATTGATGTCACTGAACTTCCTGATTTGCCCCATTGTTTCTATAAGTGGGTAATGCCCATTTTAGCTCTGGCACCTATAATTCTTTGCATTTCTGTGACTAAAATGAAATAAATATATTGATTTGGGAACATCTATTTCTTTTTAATTGCAGATGCACCTTGGTCCCATGACTGTAGGAAACTCTTTCCAATTTGGGATGAACTGGGCAAGAAATATGAAAACCATGAAAATATAGTAATTGCCAAAATAGACTTCACAGCAAATGACATTCAGTTAGTTATGCTGGACCGTTATCCATTCTTTAGATTCTTTCCTGTTGGATCCAGTGACCAGGTGAGGTGTATTATGTGTCTGTGTGTTAGTATGCGTGAGCATGTGAGAAGAGTTCTATGAAAATGGGGGAAAAAATGTTGGTCCTCATCTATTCACATATTTCTTATGAAGTAACATGCACTTACTTCTGCCTGGAATCTGCGTTTAAAGGACACGCTATTTGCTTTCAGCCTTCACTCACAAGTATCAGGTACAAGCCCAGCCCTTAGTTAGTAAACTTATAATAAATAGATAAAACAACAAGTAGTCCTGTAGCACCTTAGGGTATGTCTACACTACCCTCCTAATTCGAACTAGGAGGGTAATGTAGGCATACCGCACTTGCAAATGAAGCCCGGGATTTGAATTTCCCGGGCTTCATTTGCATAATGGAAAAGGAGGAAACACGGCAGCTAACCATTGTTAAAGGAACTTCAGGGGGTAGCCGAGTTCATCTGTTACAGAAAAAAGCAACAAATGGTCTGGTAGCACTTCATAGACTAACAAAACATGGAGATGGTATCATGAGCTTTCGTGGGCACAGCCCACTTCTTCAGATTACCAGAGTTATGATCTGAAGAAGTGGGCTGTGCCCACGAAAGCTCATGATACCATCTCCATGTTTTGTTAGTCTATGAAGTGCTACCAGACCATTTGTTGCTTTTTTCTGTAACAGACTAACTTGGCTATCCCCTGAAGCTCCTGAACATGCAAGGCACTGGTTTTTTTAAGTTACAGATTAACATGGTTCCCCTTCTGAGACTGGGCTGATAAAGTTGATACTGCTATAGCTTCTGGTGACTTGAGTCAAACCGAGTGGTTCTGTACGTTGGGGGGGGTGTTGGCAGGAGCCTAACTTCTAAAAAAACCCTTCTGCCAAGGCCCCATTGTAGTGCCTGAGAAAGGATCCTGCAGGGAACACTTAATGTAATTCTCATTAAACAAACAAACAAACAACCAGCCACCGAAGCTCAGGACTTATTCACTCAGGTGCTTGTTCAGATGACCAGTTTGAATTGTTTGTTTATCAGTTTGGCTTATGCGAACACGTTTACACTGTCTTAGAGGCCATGTCCTCTAAGCTTTTCAAAAATTATTTTCTAGACAGCTATGACATATCACAAACCACAGTAGAAAAAAAAATCAAGTGCTTGTTAATACAAACTAAAGAGCTTCTGCTATTGCTGATTATCTTTAGAATATTCTCTATAATGTGCCAGCATGTTGCATAATACTCTGAAACAATTGATGCAAGAAAGAACGGAAGAAAACAGAAATATATTAACCGCAGAGTCATAATCCTCCATCCACATGGATAATTTAATTAAAGAGAAAACCCCAGCTCTGGATCAAAGAAATTCAATTCTATGATACTGTTATAATTAAAACATTACTCAGCTTTTCATTTTTCTCCTCATGCCCCATACGTAAATTAAATTCTAAGACATTTGTACTTGTCCTCATTTAATCTCTTAAGGAGAGATTTTTCGCTCAGATGTGCATGCCCAGCTTCTAATGAATTGAACAGCAGTGCTGCACATCCCTCCTGTTTCTGGCCTTAAGGTATACCTTCTACAGCCCTCTCCCTTAGCAGTTTTCTGATCAATATTCTTTTAAAAACATATTAATTACATTTTGTTTTCTATGAAAATTTGACTCACTCAGCTGTTGCTGAATTTTATTACTAATTATATATATTGTGATAGGGTTCTGAGGCTTCAGTCAGAGCTTGCAATCTCCCCAACACATTCCTGCCTTAGACTGGAGTTTGGTGCTCGGGTGTTAAGCTGATGGACAGAGAGAGAGAGGGGAAAAAGAGGATCAGGAAATACACTGCACAATTACAAATGGCTCCTTTTCATATTTTTGTGGTGTTTATCACTCTCTCATTTTTGTGATGGGAATGAAATACTATTGTGACAAAGGTCAATGAAGATTGTGCATTTCCCTGCTTAAGTTTCTCTCTCCTAACTGGTCCCTTTGTAGCCTTCTCCTATTCTTATCTTTGCACCTTCTTCCAGGCTGACCACTCTTCATGGGTTCCCGTGGTCACCGACCAGTAGATTGCGATCTACCGGTAGATCTCAGGGGCTCTAAGAGTAGCTCTTGAGCCCTCTCTGAACTGCGCACCTGCACAGTACATTTACATTAGATTTCCTCATGTAATGTAGGCGAGGTTTCAAGGAAGGGGTGGGGCAGTAGTTCTTCGCCTGTTCTGAGACTTAAAAAGTGATCTTGGGTGTAAAAAGGTTGGAGACCACTGGCCTGTCTTCTCTTGTACTAGATCTCCCAACCTCTTCCAAAACCATTACCTTTCAGAAGTGACCCATGTATGGTTCTAACACACTAAGTGAAAAATCATGCACCCAAGAGACTGTATATCTGTATTGTTGTCTCTCTGGCCAGCTTTGAACATACAATCCTTAAGGCAGTAGTCTCATCTCTGTATACTTGTATAGCACCAAGATGATCATCAGTGCTCAACAAATGAGATAGTAATTACAATGCTTCATGCAATGTCCAACTCCCAAGATTTTGTTGGTGGATCTGTATCAGTGTCTGCCCAAGATCTTTCACGGTTAAAAAATTAAAGACAGGAAGAGCTCTGTGCTGGTGAAGTTAGTAGTAACTTTCTATCTGTCTACACCACATAGGATCAGCAGGAGAAACACACATTGACCTTTCTTGTCTTCTTGTCTAAGGTAGAGTAGAGAGGTTAACTGCAGAGCGATGTGTGGTTGATTTGGTGGGTCTTAACTAGACCAGTGGTTCCCAACCTTTTCAAGCATATGGACTCCTTTTCAATCTATTAAAATTTCATAGGCCCCCTCCCTAGGGGAGAAAGAAAGAAAAAAGAAATAGAAAAGTAAGTATCAGACCCACTGTGGCAGATCTGATCCTTACTTTCTTTCCACAGACTCCCTGCAGTACCATTGCAGACCACCAGGGGTCCGCAGACCACAGGTTGGGAACCACTGAACTAGACCCCCTAAATCAACTGCCAGTGGATCAATCTCAAAGCATGGATCCAATCTGCTGTGTAGACATAGACTTAGGAGCCTAACTATGGTTCTAAATGAATAAGTAGAGAGCAGCTGGGTTCTGTGGTCTTATGTCCCCCTTTTGACACCTGTGTAAATTGTCTGATTTTCAGGGGTCTGTTTTTTTAAAGTCTTGATCTTAATAAAGACTTGCTTATTCTTACACGCAAATAGAAGCCAGTGTCATGAAGAGGACACTTTGTTGTCAAAAGCAATCAGCCATCATACTGAATCAGAAAACTCTGCAATCCCCTAGTTAAACAAATATGCAGAGTGGGAAAAAAAATACAGCCAGCATTTAACTGTCAGATGGGGACAGTTACAATCAGAGATGAAGGAAAATGGAGATATTTCATCTGCTGAATCCCCAGACTGGGGCTGCCATGCACTATTTGAGATCTTTGGATGACACAGAGGGACTCTGTGTTTTCTGTGTGCAAATAAAATATAAATTAGCAATTTTTCAGATGGCATTTAAGGCTGACATTGTTTTTTGTTTCTTGACACTAAGTGAGACACACTCATTCATATCATCTTAAGAACTGACTGCTCTGAGAGATGTTGAAAATTCTCCTGGGCTGCATACCCAGAGCCCAGCTTAAGCAAGCAGTTTATCTCACTTTGAAAACCTCTGAAACCTACTGCTTTAGCTACCATTGAGTACCTCATCGGAGGACACACACATGCTCAGGATTTTTGGAAAACATGTATCTTCTCTGAAGGAGGCAAAAGAACTGTTTTGGTTGAGAAACGTAAAAATGCAAGCACTTTTAAGAAAACATAACTTAAGGCACCAGTGTATTTCCTTGTCATATTCAAACTACTTGAATGCATGGACCAGTCGAGTGCAAGTCTATTGAAATCACAAGGGAATGAAGGAATTTGGCAGACAATATTTTGAATTCAAACAGGGCAGATCCTCCACTGATGTAACTTTTAGCACAGTTCCATTCATTTCAGTGCAGGTAAGCCAGTTCACATTGCCATTGCCCTATCTTCTCCCCCCCCATGACACTCTGTCCCATGAGGATGTGGCTTTGAGGATAACCAGAGGGGCCTGGTGTCATGCATCAGTAGTGGCTGTGTCCCCAGCACTCCTTGCAGCTCCTTTTGCCATGGGAAGTATGGGGGAGCCTGAATTGCGGTCACTGTGCAGCTCCAGTCCCCTCTCTACAGTGATCCCCAAAGCTGTGTCTTCAGAGACAGGGTGCCTTGAGCGGGATGGTGGTGTGGGGGGTGATGGTAGAAAGGGCTGGTGTTTGGGGTGTCAGTAATGGACAAACCCCCTTCGTCCTAGCCCATACTGAACAATAACTCTGTCTGGAGATGGTCCGTGGGCTGGGAGTTTGGACTCTTGATCTAATGATTTTGAATGTCCGATTCCAACTAAAATCTTTTAGGCAGCATTGAAAAACTCACCCATACTCTTTATTCTGCAAAAATGCATGCATCTAGGAAACTATATTAAGATACATTAAAAAGACTTGGACTTTTCATCTTAGAAAAGAGGAGACTAAGGGGGGATATGATAGAGGTCTATACAATCATGACTGGTGTGGAAAAGGCGAATAGGAAAAGTTATTTACTTATTCCCACAATATAAGAACTAGGGGTCACCAAATGAAATTAATAGGCAGCAGGTTTAAAACAAACAAAAGGAAGTTTTTCTTCATCCAGTGCACAGTCAACCTGTGGAACTCCTTGCCAGAGGATGTGATGAAGACTAGGACTTTAACAGGGTTCAAAAAAGAGCTAGATAGTCATGGAGATTAGGTCCATCAATGGCTATTAGCCAGGATGTATAGGAATGTTGTCCCTACCCTCTGTTTGTCTTGAAATGGATGACAGGGGAGGGATCATGTGATGATTACCTGTTGTGATCCCTCCCTCTGGGGCATCTGTATTGGCCACTGTTGGCAGACAGGATATTGGGCCAGTATGGCCATTCTTATGTACGTAATGTTAACAGTTGTCAGAATCCAGGGCTAATATTATAATGTAAGGGACTTATGTGGTTTGAGTATGATTCCCTCCTTTCTCCTCCCAGGTATTTGTATCTGTTATCTCCTTCCCCATTCCTGATTAGCCTTAGTTTATTGAGTCTCTTCCATGGCTTTCTAAACCAAATGCAAGAGTCCAGAGTCTGATGAGCCTGCATAACTCAAGAAATCCCTGTGTACTCTGGTCTCATTTCAGGCATTTTATGTATAGAATTATTCTTTATCCTTCTTTTCTTTTCAGGCTGTAGTATATGACAAGGAACACACCCTTGAGGCTTTTGCTGATTTCTTGGAAAAACAAATCAAGCCAAAAGCAAAAGCAACAGAAAAGGTAAAGAATTTGACCCTGCACTTACTTAACCCGGATTTACAATATGTTACCCTTCTTTTCCGAATGCTTATTTTACGGTCTCTAAGGCAAGACGCTATGTATCATCACACTGGACAAGAGAGAACTAAACTGGGGTTGGGTTTGGATTTTACACATACGGCTTCCATTTTATCCATTCCCTTTAAGTCCAGCAGCGCTGCTCTCCTTTCTAAGCACTGTGGCAGAAATGACTGTGATGTTTCCCTTTCCTTTTTACGAGCTAGTCCGGTCTTTTGCCTACATTGCCAGCCATTAGTTTTGGTGCTATTGACTCAACTTCTTTCCACTGGGATGGACTTTATCCGCTGCAGAGCACACTGGTTATGCAAGAGAAGCTCCATATAGACTCAGTGGTATATTTATTTCATTATGAAAGAGTTAATGACACATAATATAGGTTAAACAACACGAGACTCAAGCTACATATAGAAAATGCTTAGAAAAAAATGACAGCAGCAGAGTCTTCACCCTTAACTTTTGCTGCGAATGGATAGGCAAGGATTTATTAGTGCATATGTAACCCACACACTTAGGCTACGTCTACACTGGCCCCTTTTCCGGAAGGGGCATGTAAATTTCACGAGTCGTCGTAGGGAAATCCCCCGCGGCATTTAAATAAAAATGTCCGCCGCTTTTTTCCGGCTTTTAAAAAAGCCGGAAAAGAGCGTCTAGACTGGCCCCGATCCTCCGGAAAAAGTGCCCTTTTCCGGAGGCTCTTATTCTTACTTTGAAGTTACTTAGAGCTGGATGCAAATAGGGGAGAAGAGCTGATTGAATTTCACCCTATAGAGTGTTTGTGAATTGTTCACTTTGACTATTTATTATTCATGGTATGTGACTGTTCCCATGAGTCACTTGGGATTCTTTCTTTTCCCTGATTGGATGACTAAATAAAGAATAACAAAAAGTGTACAAAATAGTAAAGTAATGTTTCTAACAGGATAATAGCAAGGAATCAGCTGATCATGGCAGACAAAGCAGGCAGCCATGAACAAATGTGTATGTGCCTTTTTCTGGTGCGCAAGAGATTTTGCACAAACAGGAGCTGTGTAGACAGCTCTTTTGCACAAACCCCCTCTTGCACAAGAGCTGTTCTTCCTGAAAAAATGGCTCTTGCGCAAGAGGGTGGTTTTGCGCAAAAAGGAGCCATCTACACAGCTCCTTTTTGAGCAAAAGCCTCTTGCGCAAAAGCGGCTGCTAATTAATTATGCAAATGAAGCACAGTGATATTCCACGCCGCGCTTCAATTGCATAAGCTTTTCCGCAAGAAGGCTACAGTGTAGCCGTAGCCCTAGTGTTGTTCACTATCCCTTGTAGTGGCACTTAGACCACTTACAGTGAAAGATAAGAATAAGGGAGTTCTACAGTCTAGGATGCAAGCCTGCTGGCTTTTAGCTCAAATGGTAGAGGAACCCTACACTAAGATCCCGAGGTTGTAGGTTCAAATCAACCTGGTGGCAGTTGCACATTTAATTGGAATCCAGAGCCTATCCTGCCAAAAGGAATGAGTAGGCAGGTGCCCAGGTACCAGGCACAGCAGATGTCACTGAAATTGCTCTTCAAAAGTATAGGGAAGCAGTGAGATGGGGATGGAGAAATACAGAGGAATGTGACTCACTCTTCATGCAGGCTCATTCTCAGGGCTTACAGATGGATTGGTGATTAAACAGCTGTTTTGGGAAGTGGAGCTTCTTCTCCTGCTGTAAGTATTGGGGGGCTACAGCTGTGGTGAATGTTCTCCTGTCACGTCTTCGAAGGAGGAGTAGGAATCACATCTACTCATTCTCCAAAATGTGCTTTGCGCTGCAGGTAGAGTGGTTGGCATTAGTTCACAAGGGATATTAATGGGTAACTAGTTAATTGGTTACCTAGTAAGCAACATCTTTAACAGGTGATGCTTATTGGGTAACCGTTAACCATTACTTGGGAACAGCCCTCCAGTTCGAGGGAGGGTACGGAGGGCAGAAGTGGCAGCGGGATGGTGGGAGGGGGGAGAGGGAAGAGGATTGCTGGCTCCCAGCCTGCAAGACTGTGCAGCCCCACAGGGCTGGAGCTGCCGAGTGGTGCTGCCTCTGCCCGTGGCATGGGGACTGCTCCAGTCCAGCCGTGAGAGCGGGTGAGTGGGCGGGGGGGGAGGACGGGCCATTCCAGGAATGATCGTCTCACCCACTTACCTCGTTTAATTAGTTAATCGGTGTCGGGGGGGGGGGGGGGGGGTGCATTCCCCTTGAGCGGGGTCCCACAGTCAAAATCCACCCACGGGCCCATGCAGCCCAATGGCAGGCATCTGAGTCCCCACAGCCCCCCTGTCAGTTCTATACGGCTCTGTGGCCCAGTCTCCCAAAGTCTGCCCCTCAATTGGAGTCAATATGACCCTGAGGCTCAGTCTTTGTAGTGCGCCTCTATTGGGGTCAATATGGCCCTGCAGTCCAGTCCCTATAGGATGCCCCTCTATTGGGTAAATATGTCCCTGAGGCCTAGTCCTTGGAGTGCCCAGTGTCTATAGCAGGGGTTCCCAAACTTTTTGACACGGGGACCAGTAAATCCATTCACAAGCTTTCGGAGGGCCGGTAACATTCATTTGCATATTCATTAAGCAAATGACAAATATGCAAATATGTTGTTTTGGGTCCTCTCAAAGCCCCCAGGGCCAGCTTTAGCAAAGCTTTTGATACAACCACCCACAACATTCTTACCAGCAAGTTAAGGGAATATGGATTGGAAAAATGAAACCCTGCACCACCACATTGTGTATTGAAAAGGGGCTAATTTATTTTCAGAAAGCCGACACCATCTTTGGAATTTTTTTATCCATATTCTCATTCCGGATGGTGAATGCACCAGGTTCTCTCCATTCTGACACATTGTCGTGCCTTTAAACCTCACTGTCAGCAGTGGGGATATTAGAAGGCACTGCTTTTACATTTTTATTCAGGATCTGTGTGCGCCCTGAACTGTCCCGCTCCCTGCTAGCCAATTTCCCCCCACGTTCCACTCCACTCCTGCCCTGGGCCAGCCCCACTGTCCCCGCCAGACGATTCTCTCCCAATCTCTCCTGGCAAGCCCTGCTGCTCCCGCTAGCCCTGCTTATGCCGAGAGGGGACCCAA